CATATTATAAAAAATATTTTTAATATATATATTCACACATTATAAAGAATATTTTACATATATATTCACATATTTTAAAGAATATTTTGAGGTTAACATTTTGTGATTCTTAAATATATATATATATATATAATATATTTATATATTATATAATATATATTAAATATATATATATTATATATATAATTTTTAAGTATATACTATATATATATATATCGTGGATTAAAACTTCCTGTTATCATTAACATAGTTGTATCTACGTGATTTGCATTTCATGTACCTGGCCATTATATTAATTCTGAAGTGAAAACTGCGATTCTAACTAATATACAGCGTACAATTTCATTCGAATTTAAAAATGATAATATTGGCGCGGGTTGAACTGGCAGAGTTTGAACTGGTTGCCAGTTAAGGGTATAAAATACAATTCAAAACGCGGACTGCTCGATTTAACGCAAACTCGATCGGCCAAATTCATCCTGGACAAGGTTAATTGCCTTCCCAACAGCGAAATGAAAATTTGGAAGAGCGCGAGTCGATGTTAACGCGGCGAATAAATCGCATTCCTACCTTATTGCCCACATGTCGTTGTAACCAACGATCCATGAATGGTCATTAACGTCGGCATTAAGCGGTTGCGAAGGCAGGTGCTACGCCGACAGGTGGAGAGACTTTGCAGCGAAACATAATACTGCTCGCTTCTTTCATTCTATTCCAGCCATTCTGTTCACGTGGCGCGCCAATTTTCCATCTCCCATCGTTCAAATTCTAATCTTTCCAATTGCTCTAACAATCCTAATTTTTTTTTTGCCAATTACGAGGACGTTGCATTTATCGGAGCGAAACTTCAGTCACATGTACGTGTGACTTAACCCATCCGTGCGCAAGTCATTATGTACATTTTGTGGACAAAATGCAGTGTAATGATTCGAAAAAACACTGAAAAAACGCTGACTAGATGACATGGTGGTATGGTAGTATAGAGAAAAATGAAAAATATAACGTATTACTATTTATTCATAATAAATTTTCCAAAGAAAACTTCTTTGATAAACAAACAAAAGATGATATATATGATATATATATATCATCTTTTGTTTGTTTATCAAAGAAGTTCTCTCTCTCTCTCT